AGCATTGCTGATCTTCCAGATTCCCTCCGACCTCTTCCTACAATAAAATTCCCCTCAAATCCTCCCTCGTTTCTGGCCTAATTCCTAAAGGGACTATGCAAGACATCTTAAGTTTTTCTCTTTAAAAAAAAAAAAAAAAACTAACAAAAATAATTAGTTTGGGGAGGGCGGGGGTTCTTAGTTTGTCTGTCTGTCTGTTTGTTTTTAATTTGTGAGTTCTTAAAAACAGTTTTCCTATAAGTCAGTGACCAGCCACAAAGAAAGATTTTCCTACTGCTGTTAAAATATTTTCCACAAAGTTTTCCATCCTTCAGTGACAGTGCCATTTGGTCAATTTTGCTAAATTTTCACTTTAAGTCAAATTTATAAATTACCAGTAGGTGAAATAAAAAAGAGATAAGCATAAAGTATGTACAAAGTTCTTATTGCAAGAGTAATAGTAAAGCATCCAGTTAATAAAGTCACTCTAGATAAATTTACCAGGCTTTCTGGTATGCCTACCGTCTTCACCACAATCAACGTCAACGGAAACACCCTTAGATATCTTCCCTGCCAAAAGTAGCATCTACCCAGCAAGAAAAGCTACAACTGAGGAAAATTGGATTTTGACCTCTGATAAAAATTTCCTGCAGGAATATAGGAAAAACAACTGGCAAACACACAAAGGAACAGCAATATTTTGGCTGTGAGGCCAACTTATCATTTTACCCACCCACATGTACCACATTTGGACAATTGGAATATGATTTATTTATTACATGACAAATTATCACTTTTCCTAAAATCTATGGCCCATATCTCACAGGAGTAGATGCCAAAATGTTATGCCACTTAGGATAAACTTAGGTGGGTTTAGCAAAGCCAGATTTACCCAACTCATTTACCAAGCAAGTTTCTTTGGTACCTGTGTAGTTAATCTGTTTTTAATTGAGCTCCACTGTTGTCATATAGTTAGTAAACAAATGGGTTTAGGTATAAACATCATGATTGTTTAAAGCACAAATATTATGCAGCTTGAAGTTTTAGAAGACCCCGTTGACAAACCTGAAAACTAAAAGTGTTTAATGTTCAGAGTTACTCTTTACACTTTTGTTCATGATATCCTTCTTTTCTGAACCTCAGAAACCCTACTGTTAGCTCAGGTGACATGGCAGCTGAATGGACATACCAAAAAGCTCTTAATAAACAGATTCTTTCTGATTCCAACTCATTTTTCCACAAAACAAAAGGTAGTTTCACACTTGCCTGGAAAAGCCACTTTGATTACTTTGCGATGAGGAATTCTTTAGTATTTGATCAACAGATAGTAGATTACAATTCTCTCTCATGCACAAGTCTGTCCTCTCAAATAAAAGGTGTATCACAAGAAAAACAAAAATTGCCTTAACTTGCTTTTGAGGCATTATTAGTGCCGAAATTCTTTTTAAATAATAATTCTAAATAGCCAGATGCCTATTGTTCCCTCTAATTCTATATCTGAGTTTGAAGTCTTTCAGAAAAAAATACCAGCTATGTCTAACATTTTCCCCAAAACCTTAGATCCCCTGGAAAAAGAAGAAAATGAAATACATACAGAAGATAGTTATCCTTTTGTCTGCTGTTCTCAAATAGCTTGGAAGTATAGCCCAAATCCAGAAAGGTTAGTACTCCTTGCATTATAAACCCAGTAAATTAAATACTGAAGGTAAACAAAGTCTAAAACTTACAGGTATAGAAAACATACTACTCATTTGAATTTCTCATGCTGGAATAATATGCCATTAACTTGATGACTCCAGCCCAGTAAAAAATCTGTTAGTTTCCAAAACTCCCCAAATTCCTCTTCCTTTTACTAAACTTCACTGACTGTATATTTGTGTAACATGCAACAGGATACAACAGAAGTAGAGGCTTTTAGAGCCAGAAGCCTTTTGGGACTGACGGCTGAACTTACGTCACAGGCAAAGCAATGTCTCTAATATTTAATATGCTAGAAGTCTTACGGGACCTGCTCAAGGTCATACAGCCAGTTAGTGAATAAAGCAAGACTAGACCCAGCCTCTGGAGTCTTGGTCAGTGGCAAGCGTTTCTCATTTGCTGCTCCTTGTTTAGCATGGGAGAGTTGGAGAAAAGAGGTGTCGATCGTCAGCACTCTACTCTTGAGGACAAACGTAACATCACTTAATCAAATTTCAGTCCTTCATTGAGCAAAATCTCAAAGTGACATCTACTGGAATACCCAGTCTCTATGGAGAAATTTAATTAAACTTCAGTCCCTTTATTCCAGCACAAATATTGTGAGGGAAAACAACTCGACTCCTCTGACATTTTTGCAAATAGGTTTAGTGGAATCCATTCTGTTTACTTTTACTGACATTTGTTTTTCAGTCAATTATCCCACATGGTTATTTTTTTTCTTTTCATAATTTATTGCTAGCAACTTGGCCATAAGAATAAATACAAGTAATTCCTTTCTTTGGTACAAGCGCCAGGGCTGAGATTCATAATAACTGAAGAAAATAAATACTCACTTTACCCCTCCCCTTTCCTTTTCCTAATAGTTCTGGTTTACTTATTAATCGGACTGGTAACAGCACCAGAATCTAACAAGGAAGAATTTAACCTCAATGCTTCAGTAGTTTCTCTTCACATATCCTTAAAACTTTGGAAAATAATACATTTTACTGGATTAGTTATCTAGTAGATAACTAAATATGACAAGCATTTTTTTCACCTTGTACTCATCTATTTCCAATTTTTGCACACTTTTATTTAGAAATTGTCTATAAAGTCTTAAAAATTTCAGAAAGTCTTCATCGCAAAAAATGCTATTCCTTTTTTAATCCACGAAATCTCATTGAGTGGACACGAAACAACTAATTTTTAAGAGGATGAAAAACATGTGGTGTAGGGCAGTGCTGCTCAAATTCCACCATAAATATGAATTACCTGGAGATCATGAGGAACTGCAGATTCAGATTCGCAGATCTGGAATGAAGCCTGAGAGTCCACATTCCTAACAAGTTCTTAGGCTAGACCTTAGTCTGCACTTCAAATGGAGTGTAGAGGAAAGGGCATTGTTTCTGGAGCTGCGAAGATCTGGATTGAAATCCATCTTGATTGGTTCCTGGTAATCAGAGAGAGCCCAACTCTCCACCAGGACCCTCCTCTCTCCCCCTGCAGCATTCAGAGCCTCACCACCATCATCAGCCTTACTCCACAGGGACTGACCTCATCATGCCTTTTATCCTACTCCAAGTTGGCTACCCCTAGACTGTTAGGCTGCCTCTCAACTTCCGTAACTGAATCCCTGTTAGCCTCTGTGAACCTATTCTGTCCCCTTTTCCCATCTCTCTCTAAGTTCTGACATCCTTCCACTCTATCCTCTAAAACTTAGTCAGCTACCAGCAAAATCCCCTATGTTAATGCTGCAACTACTGTCTGAATACTTTCTCCCCTTCATGTTTCAAGAGAAACCTGGCTCTCCATTGAGGAAACTGCTACCACTGCAGTTCCCTTAGTGGAGTTAATTTTGTCTCCTGTGGTTCTTTCAGGACTAGGCCTAGAGGTAGAGAACGTGTCCCTATTGCTCCTTATTGCTGCTTGCAATTTTCCAATCCCCTTTCATTCCTAAAAACTGCCCATGTAGGATCTCTGTCATCAGATTACATCACCCATGAATTCTCATTGTTGTCACAACCTAGCCATTCCTATGGCCATTTCCGTAGACTCTGTTTCTATTAATAACTACATCTTCTCTTCAGTGTCAGTCACACACATCCTACTCTCTGACATCACCTTCTACCATTTCATCCTATTCTGTCTCTATTCTGTACCCTAATTCTTCCACACCACTGGTGTAGCTAAGCCATTGATCCTAACATGTTTTCACTGTTTCTCATCCCTTCAACATTCTTATTTCCCACCTTTTCCAATTTAAACACCATTGGCAATGGTTACTGAATCCCTTGCCTTTCTATAGTTTTGCTGTTCCTGCTTTCCAAAACTATAATCTTATTTAAATCAAATTTCTGCCTACTCCAAACCTTCCTCTGTGGTAAACATAGAGGAGAAAAATACAAACCATGATGACTGGTCTTGCTTTAAATAGTTGACTGGAAACCTCAAGTGCCCTACCATTCGTAGCATATTATCTCTAGTCCATATACTCTTTGAATCATGTAGGCTGCCACTTTATACTCTCTCACATTCTCAATACCTCTTCTCCCACTGCCACCTTCAGTTGATAATTTTACTTCCTATTTCACTAAATTAAAAAAAAAAATGTCCACATAATTCCAACAACACATCTACCGCATGCCTGCATCAGCAAATGTCTTTGCCTTTCTGCCTGCCACCATTGTTGAATTGTGCAATGTTCCTATCAAAAAAAAAAAAAATCAATCCTTATACTTATGCACTAGATATTTCCTCTCACTAGTACATCCAGCCAACCCTACAGATAGCTGGAGCCTTGGCCAACACCTGAATGTAATCACCTGATATATCCTGATCCAAAACCACCCAACTAAGCAGATTCCAAATCTCTGACCCATAGAAACTATGAATTAAAAATCGCTTATTATTTTAAGCCACTAGAAGGGCGCCTGGGTTGCTCAGTCAGTTAAGTGTCTGACTTCCGCTCAGGTCATGATCTGACAGTTCATGGGTTCAAGCCCCATGTCAGGCTCTGTGCTGACAGCTAGCTCAGAGCCTGGAGCCTGTTCTGGACTCTGTGTCTCCCTCTCTCTCTGACCCTCCCCTGCTCATGCTGTCTCTCCCTCTCTCAGAAATAAATAAAAACATCTTAAAAATTATAAAAATAAATAAATAAATAAACCACTAGATTGTGGGGTGATTTGTTAGTGATAAATGTAATACAATAAATGAATGAATGAAATGACAAATCACAAGCTCAACATCCACTAGATAATTAGGAAGGATTTACATATCAATCAATTGAGGATCTAATTTTCACATACCAGGAGGGGAGGTACAACAGGTAGTTCTTCCAGATAATTTGGGCTTATAAGGAAAGTCAATAAGGAGTAGAGTCTTTATATAGAACTGTAGAGTATGAGTAAAACATCTTCCAATCTTCTGAACCCTAGTGGGAAAGAAAAAGAAAATCTCTAGCCAAAAAGAATATCTGACAATTACGATGCTCGCTTTCCAGGCAGAGTGAACATAGATTGTCAGTGCAGTATTGTGGACAGGGAGGTCCTAACATCAGTGGGATCTCAGGAAAGCTGAGTCATTTCGTCTCTCCTGAAGATGTACAGCATTTCCATCAGCAAGTCCTAAAGGGTACAATGGCAGCAACTTGGGCAGATGTGTGTTACTGCTGCCACTTTGTTATGGAGCCAGTCAACTTGTACAAATTCTTATGTGAGTGGCCATGCAAACCAGAAGCAGTTAGCATTATACTGTGAGCTGACCAAGTGTTTAGGGGTCAGGTTGCCCACTCATCATTGACAGCCAGATATTTAGGGCCTGGAGCTCCCAGGTTAACAATAACCCACCATGCCCTTTAAATCACAATTAAAATGCTAATGATACTTTCACATTTGTGGATAATATTGGGGTCTAAATTCAAACTTCTGTTTGATGAAGAATTCCTCAGCTAGTTTTCTATCTAAACCATAGACTTTAACTTTAGAGAATAGTTTAATGACCAGAGTGGAAAGAAGTCTCATTACAAAGTAGTTTTTTGCTTGGAGGGCTCTAGGCCTTCAGAAATTCCTACCAAGACACTTGAGAGTATCTATCTATTGATAAATCAATTAAAATATACGTAGATACACACATACATATTTAGTTAAATTAATGTAAGTACAAATTTTTTTTAATTTCTCAATAAAAGATATTTTGCAAAACATAAATAGTAAAGCACCAAATAATTAGAAGTTTTCTTTTTCCATTTTTTTAAAAATTTTTCCTCTACCAGCAGTTTTAAACCTAAAGACACGTGTTTTCCTAGGCTTTACAATGGATCCAACAATGAAAGTGGTCAAATCTCACACCTAGAGTTTAGATGTTTTAATAGAGAAGTATAAAAATTTTTAAACACTTTTATTTTGTTTACAGAAAAGATGCATTTCAATATTCAGTATTCTCAGTGAAAGATTTTTACTACTATAAAGCAGTTGTTTTCATATAATTTGAATGTACCTAAGATTAATCATATTTGTGGCCATGATTAATACAGAAGCTATGAAGCCATTTCTACTAATTCATAAAGACACGCTCTTTGAACTTCATCTTCCCTATAGCTACTCTCCCTCCCATGATGATCTCATCCAGTTACTTGGCTTTAAACATCATCTATACACTGATGATTCCCAAATTTATATCTAGAGCCAGACAGCTCCTCTGAACCCAGACTCATATATCCAGCTGCCTATTTGACATCTCCATTTAGAGATCTTACATGCATTCTACACTTATCTTGTCCTAAACCAAACTTCTGATCTTTTCTCCCAAACCTTCTCCTCCCACTGTCTTCTCCTTTTCAGTAAATAGGAACCCTATCCTCCCAATTACTCAAGTCAAAAAATGGGAGTTATCTTTAACTCCTCTTTTTCTTTCACACCTGACTCTGAATCCATCAGCATATTCTGTCAATTTTACATTCCATATCACTCAGAATATGACTTCACACTATATCCACTGCCACTGTGTTTATCCAAGTCACCACCATCTCTCATCTGGGTTGCTCAGTAGCCTCCTTACTTGCCTTCTGCCTCTGCCCTTGCTTTCTATAACCTATTAGATACATAGCCATTCAGAGTGATTAACACACAAGTGATCAACAAAAGCATGTCCTCACTTTTTTCAAAACCCTAAAATTGCACCTCATTTCAGCAAACTAAAGGCCAATTCTACAAGGTCCCACATAATCTTCACATCATACCCTCCACCTCCTCTACCCTGTTACCTCTCTAACTCATATTCTACTATTCGCTCCATTGTTCACTCTGCTTGGGTTGCTCTGGTCTCTTTATTGTTCCTCAAACAATCAGGGCCTTAGTAGTAGCCTATCCATTGTCTGGGACGCTTTTGACCCAGTTGCCACATGGCTCAGTCACTTACTTCCCTCAAGTCCTTGCTGTACTGTAACCCCCTCAGAGACTCCTCTATTGAAAGTACAATCCCTACCCTCTTCAGCAATACTATTCTTCTTTGCTCTTGTTTGCCTCCATAGCCTTTTTCATCTAATGGCATAAATATTTTGTTTGCTTTTTGTTTATTTTCCTACACTAGAATATAAACTTCTGTCCATTCTGTTTACTACTATATAGCCAGCTCTTAGAATATAGTTGGCAAATAGAAGGCACTCAATAAATATTCACTGAATGTATGAATATTTAAAAATTGGAAAATTGTTAGCACAAATATTTTATTATCAATATTTCAATAATTAGTTACTATCCTAGCTAGTACAATAAAAGCTTAATACAATAGTATTCATTCCTCCTTGCAACAAATTTTTTTTATCATATAGTGAAATGTCAAAGTATTTTCCACCTTGGTATTATAAATTTCTGAAGCAAATCTCAGCTCTAATGTCATGACTCTTTTTCTGGAAACACTGGTTTCTGAATACATCAATATCCTCCTGTATCTAAAAACCCCATTAAAACTGACGATCATATCACTATTTAAAATTAGATGAACAAAGTATGTGTGGGTTTAATCTCCCTCACCCCTTCACCAAATGCAACCAGAGAAATGGTTTGCAAGAACTGAAAGGTTATAGAATAGGGATCTGCAGCAATCTCTATTAAAATAACACTAGCATTCTTCACAGAACTAGAACAAACAATCCTAAAATTTGTATGGAACCAGAAAAGACCCCAAATAGCCAAAGCAATCTTGAAAAAGAAAATCAAAGCCAGAGGCATCACAATCCCAGACTTCAAGCTGTTTTACAAAGCTGTAATCATCAAGACAGTATGCTACTGGCACAGGAACAGACACTCAGATCAATGGAACAGAATAGAGAACCCAGAAATGGACCCACAAATATATGGCCAACTTATCTTTGACAAAGCAGGAAAGAATATTCAATAGAATAAAGACAGTCTCTTCAGCAAGTGGTGCTGGCAAAACCGGACAGTGGCATGCAGAAAAATGAACCTGGACCACTTTCTTACATCATACACAAAAGTAAACTCAAAATGGATTGAAGACCTAAATGTAAGGTAGTAAGCCATCAAAATCCTCAAGGACAAAGCATACAAAAACCTCTTTGACCTCGGATGCAGCAACTTCTTACTTAACATGTCTTCAGAGAAAAGGGAAACAAAAGCAAAAATGAACTATTGGGACCTCATCAAAGTTAAAAGCTTCTGCACAGTGAAGGAAACAATCAGCAAAACTAAAAGGCAACTGACAGAATGGGAGAAGATATTTGCAAATGACAGATAAAGAGTCAGTATCCAAAATCTATGAAGAACTTCTCAAACTCAACACCCAAAAAACAAATAATCCAGTGCAGAAATGGGCAAAAAACATGAATAGACACTTCTCCAAAGAAGGCATCCAGATGACAGACAGACACATGAAAAAATGCTCAGCATCACTCGTTATCATGAAAATACAAGGCAAAATCACAATCAGATACCACCTCACACCTGTCAGAATGGCTAACATTAACAACTCAGGAAACAACAGATGTTGGCAAGGATATGGAGAAAGAGGATCTCTTTTGACACTGCTGGTAGGAATACAAACTTGTGCAGCCACTCTGGAAACATTATGGATATTCCTCAAAAAATTAAAAATAGAACTACCGTATGACCCAGCAATTGCACTACTATGTATTTATCCAAGGGATATAGATGTGCTGTTTCAAAGGGGCACATGCACCCTAATGTTTACAGGAGCACTATTCACAATAGCCAAAGTATAGAAAGAGCCCAAATATCCATCAACGGATGAATGGATAAAGAAGATGTGATGTATACAAAGGAATATCACTTGGCGATCAAAAAGAATCATATCTTGCCATTTGCAACTATGTGGATGGAACTAGAGGGTATTATTCTAAGCAAAATTAGAGAAAGACAAATATCATATGACTTAACTCATATGAGGTATTTAAGATACAAAACAGATGAACATGAAGAGAAGCAAAAATAATATAAGAACAGGGAGGGGACAAAACATAAGAGACTATTAAGTATAAAGAACAAACATAGGGTTGCTGGAGGGATTGTGGGAGGGGAATGGGCTAAATGGGTAAGGAGCATTAAGGGATCTATTCCTGAATTCATTGTTGCACTATATGCTAACTGGGATGTAAATCAAAAAATAAATAAATTTCAAAAAAAAAAAAGAATAGGGATCTGTAAACTATGGCCTGGGGACAAAAGCCAGCCAGGACTGAGAAATAAAATACAGAATTCCCAGTAAAATTTGAATTTCAGATAAGCAACAAATATTTTTTAGTATAACTATATCCCAAATATATAATAAATACCAAATCTGGGAACCTTAAATCTGGCCCACCACCTGTTTTTGTACAGCCTGCAAGCAAAGAATGGTTTTTCCATCTTTAAATGTCTTGGGGGAAAGTGAAAGAAGAATTATTTTTCATGGCAAGTAAAAATGATATGAAATTCAAATATCAGTGTCTATAAACAGTGTCGTTGGAACATAGCCACTTGTTTGTGGCCATTTTCACATTACAGTAGCACAACGAATAGTTGCAACAGAAATCATACAGCTGCAAAGCCTAAATATCTACCCCATCTGGCCATTTACAGAAAGTTTACCAACCCCTATTGTAGAATATTACTTTTATTTTTCCCCTTACTAAAGACAAAGCAAAGTAACTTCTTTCCCTTTTAGAACTCTCTTCCCACAGGAGTACTCCTGGTGCTTTATCATTATTCTGGAAAGAGAAGTAGGAAGCAAGCTGAGAAGATGCAGTTTGATGAAAGGCGTGGGCTGTGGATCCCCACAGAGTGGAGTGTGAGCGCTTTCTCCACCCATCATAGCCTGAGTGAGTTACTTACTGGGGGCCATATGAATACCACCACACAGGGTGGTTTATAAGGGTTAGGAGATAAAGATTAAAAGCTTGATTTTAAAGGGCAAAAAACGGTCAAGTTTCTAGACTGCAACAGAGGGTATGATCGTCAGAAGGACACAAAATAGAAGGAAAAGAAAAGTGAAAAGATAAAAATTAGGACTAGGAGGACAGACATCTCATTTTTTTTTTTAATGTTTATTTATTTTGAGAGAGGGACGAGCAGAGTGTAAGTCAGGGAGGGGCAGAGAGAGAGACACACACACACAGAACCTGAAGCAGGCAGGTTCCAGGGTCTGAGCTGTCAGCACAGACCCGGACGCAGGGTTCGAACCCACAAACAGTGAGATCATGACCTGAGCCAAAGTCGGACGCTTAACCGACTGAGCCACCCAGAAGCCCCTAAGAGGACAGACTTCTTAATCTCACACAAAGAGGTGAGCTTAAGTGGAAAAATATAGACTTTACATGGGTTCACACAAAAATACCATGACCAAACCAGAGAAGTATGGATGGATTTATTTGGACTATGTAAGGCAGCAAGCAGTTAAATGGTTTACAAGGTAAGTAAATCTTGGATTGCATCTACTCAGTGCCCATGTGATTGTCTTAGTAGAAATGATACAAACCTCACTTCCAGAAGTAGCATTATATTTGAAATGAAAGACCTGAGTACATGCTGCTACTCTGAGGGGAAAAGAGAAAAGACAGAGCCACATTTATATGGCTGTGGAATCCCTGAGGTTCTCAAAGGGGCCAGTGAAGAAAGTAGCATCCACAATCTCTTCAGCCATCCGTCCCAGAAAATATTTTCTACTCTGGCCCCTGAATTAGAGTTATCAGGTCCCTGTTTTTAAGATCTAGAAAAATAGGAAGTGTATTAAAAAAAACATTTATAAGATTCATCAAATGACTATATCTGTGACCTATGACCTTAGGCAGTGGTTCTCAACATGTGAGCCTCACATGTAAGACATATTCCCAAACACAACTTCTGACACTAGATATAATGCACTTCACTCCTCCTAAAAGGCATATCAGCATGGGATAGAGTGAGAGTGATGTTATCATAGAGATAACCTTGAGGCTGTTCTAAATATATTTTCAAATGTAAATTATTGTCAAGCTACAGTACTCCAACTGTATTTGGTAACAAATACAGCCTCACGTCTTTTTTTTTTTTTTTTTTTTACAAATAGTTTATTGTCAAATTAGTTTCCACATAACACCCAGTGCTCATCCCCACAAGTGCCCTCCTCCATGCCCATCCCCCCTTCCCCCCACATCCATCAGTCCTGTTTTTGTCAGCATTCAAGAGTCTCTCATGGTTTGCCTCTCTCCCTTTCCCCCACCATTTCCCCCCTTCTTCTCCCCCTTGTTCCTCAGTTAAGTTCCTCCTAATCCTCCTATACGTGCAAACATATGATATTTGTCCTTCTCTGCCTGACTTATTTCGCTCAGCATAACACCCTCAAGGTCCATCCATGTTGCTACACATGGCCAGATTTCATTGTTTCTCATTGCCATGTAGTATTCCATGGTATAGATAAACCACATCTTCTTGATCCATTCATCTGTTGATGGACACTTAGGCTCTTTCCATGTTTTAGCTATTGTGGAGAGTGCTGCTATGAACATTGGGGTACATGTGCTCCTATGCCTCAGCATTTCTGTATCCCTTGGGTAAATTCCTAGCAGTGCTATTGCTGGGTCCTAGGGGAGTTCTATTGTTAGTTTCCTGAGGAACCTCCACACTGTTTTCCAGAGGGGCTGTACCAGTTTACATTCCCACCAACAGTGTAGGAGGGTGCCCGTTTCTCCACATCCTCGCCAGCATTTAGAGTTCTCTGATTTGTTCATTTTAGCCACTCTGACTGGTGTGAGGTGGTATCTCAGTGTGGTTTTGACTTGTATTTCCCTGATGAGGAGGGATGCTGAGCATCGTTTCATGTGTCTGTTCAGCCTCACTTCTGACATGACACAACACTGTGATTGAATAGTACTGTTTCATGTTACTTCCCAAGAACAACATTTTCCTGAAATATAGACATCTATACTAATATTGATCATAGCAACAATACTATTAATCAATTGCTTTTAATCAAACAACAAGGTTACTTCAAGAATTGTGTTTTTGAAATTGCTTTTTGTTCACAACGTATGTTGATGTACTTCACAACCTTAAACTCAGAGCTGGCCAAGACACTAATTAGTTCATTCATTAGTTCATTTATTGTCAACATATGAAGCTCACATGATGAGAACTGATGACCAAGTATAATAGATTATAAATAAAAATCCCTGGCATATTTCAATCAACAAATATGGAATGAGATCCTGATCTTTGCCAGGTATGGTTCCGGGAGCGAAGGTGAATAGAGTCCTGGCCCTCTGGTATACAAAATCTAGTGGCGGCAACAGACAAAACAATTTCAATGTAGCATGATTGAATAAAATGGTAAACATGGACACAGTGTGTTATGAATTCAAGGAAAATAACTGAAACAACAAGGGAATGATTAGAGAAAGATTTGTTAGAGATAGTACATTGAGCAGCTGTCCACTGTCAGTAACTATCTTGGGGTGCTTCCAGCCACAGAGAACTGTTAAAAAGTCAGCATGGCACCTCAGATAAGTGAGCTAACAGTCTGATGTGAAGGGCAGATCCGTTAACTAATCTCAAAGGCAAATGGAAAGGCAATGTTGATGCCCTTGATCCTTCTCCCTTCTAACCAGGCCTCACACCTTCACCAACATGTACTCTTTTGTGCTTCTGTCACAGATTCTTGAAGAAACAACTTCTTAGCACAAAGTTCTCTCCTTTTTGGGAATGGCCACAAACATAGGTATAAGATATGGGATACCACATCTTTATATGACCCAAATTCCATAGAAATAGCTGATTGTTCCAGAAGTAGACATCTGACTGAAACTGGACCATTTGGTGATCTTCCATTGTAATTGAAATCCTAAACTGAGATGCACAGGGACTTAGAGGTGAATCGCATTAATGGCAACACCCTATAAAGAATGACAACAAATTCCTGATCCACAGGAGAGGCACCTACTCTTTCCACATGTTAGTTGTCTTCCTTTCAATTCTATAAGAACTCTCCTAATTTCCTTCCAACTCCTCAGGCTGGCCAGTGTCAAATCATATGCGTATAGCCCAAGAAACGTTCATATATGTCTCTTGTCCACACAGACTCCCAACTCCTGTACCCAGTGTAACTGTATTTCCCTCTGATCAAACAACTTGCTGAGAGATTAATTACTCATAAAGCTTAGTATTTTACTTACCCTCCAGAGAGGTTATAGTTTGGGGGGACTTCTGGAGATATAATGTTGGAATCCAAAGAATTTACTCCAGGGGGATTTCAGGACCTACTGAACCATGATAATCCTGTGAAGGAGATATTTGGGCATACAGAGAATTATCATTAATGCTCCTCAAATACCACCAAATATGGTTCAAAATCTTAGCTCAGTCATTCACATAACCAAGTTTACACAGCTAGTAAATGACAAAGCCAAAATTTGAAATCAAATCTGGCTATTTTCAAACCCCACATATTTTTCATACTACAGATATATCTACTAATGTCTATTTTCATTCTTCCTTTAAATCAGTGGTTCTCAACAGGGGGCAATTTTAGATACACACACACACACACACACACACACACATACACAGAAGACCTTGAGCAATATGTGAAGATAATTTTGGTTGTTAAAACTGTGATGTGCAACTGGCATCCAGTGGGTAGAGGCTAGAGATGCTGCAAAATATCCTAAAATGCACAGAACACACCCACAGCACTAACTATATGGCCTAAAATGCAAAGAGTGATGAGGTTGAAAAACTCTGCTATAAATCAAACAAATAAGCAAGTTTTCTGAAGAATGTATGGTTCAAATGTATAAAAACAAAGAATTAAATGAAAATGCCATTTTATGCAAGATAAACATTGGACTAGTATGTACACACTAATTATGGATTTATTGATGTAAAAAATATTTTTATTTTTTAATGGGATAGGCATGCTTCAAAACAGTTATATAGAGAGGTGCCTGGGTGGCTCAGTCAGTTGGGTGTCCGACTTCGGCTCAGGTCATGATCTCACCATCTGTGGGTTCAAGCCCCACGTCGGGCTCTGTGCTGACAGCCAGCTCAGAGCCTGGAGCCTGTTTCGGATTCTGTGTCTCCCTCTCTCTCTGACCCTCCCCTGCTCACATTGTCTCTCTCTCTCTCTCTCTCTCTCTCTCTCTCAGAAATAAATAAAACATTTTAAAAATTTCAAAAAACAGTTATATATAGCATGGTCTTATTTTGTAAAAATAAATAAAGATCTATATATGCAGGAACATGGGTTCATTTACATGTAGGAAGAAAACTGGAAAGCTATATACCACTAAGTTCATAGTATCTAGTGCTAAAGGGGAAGGAGATTATATTATTTTTGTTTTTCTTTTTTCCTTGAGATGCATTTCTACATTAAAAGTTATCATTTTTCTTTTTTTAATGTTTTTTTAAAAATTTATTTCTGAGAGAGAGAGAGAACCAGCACGAGCAGGGGAGGGTCAGAGAGAGGGAGATACAGAATCTGAAACAGGTTCCAGGCTCTGAGCTAGCTGTCAGCACAGAGCCCAACGCAGGGCTTGAACCACGAACTGTGAGATCATGACCTGAGCCGAAGTCAGATGCTTAGCCGACTGAGACACCCAGGTGCCCCTAAAAGTTATCAGTTTTCATTTTAAGATATGCTCTACTTGTCAGCCTCATGCCTGACATCAGCTGGTTTGGACTGATTCACACTATCATGAAGCTTGCTTCATCCACCTACATACTCAAAATAAGAAGCACTGTTTCATTAAAAGAGGTTCAGAAATGGCATGTCTGGTGGTGCATGTGTGAAAGCATTCATTACAGTCACTCATTACAGAAACTCAATATTTCCCAAACCTCCTTGCCTCTGACTTAGGTGCCTTAGTCCTAATTCCCACTGGTAACATCCCCACACCCCTCTTCTTTCTGCTACTGAGTCAGTTCTCGTTAAGATCACCTTACTTCTGAGTAAACCTTAGATAAATGAAGCATCATTCACAACTCGAACAACCCCACCTCTGGCACTTGAGTAGATGGAAGAAGAATTTTAGAACTTAAGTTTTTAACCTAAAACTCAGAACAAAATTATTAAGGAAACACATTTTTCCCAAATAGTTCTAAACACTCTTAAAATTGACTCTCATGTCCTTTCTAGATTCATTTCTTTCATCAGACACAGTAGCCGTAGCTGTAGCATAGCCATAGTATATGTCTTCTTTCTATTCCTATCAAGGTCAAAAGAAAGACAGACTTGATCTTCTTTTGGGGTGTTAACTGAATAGGATAGGTTAGTTCAGACATACCGTCTTCCAAGTGCTAGAAGACATTGTCCTTTGATATACTTACATACATTTTTGTTTAATATGGGCAACTGATTAAGGAAAACCCTCTTTGGGGGACAAAGGAGCAACTTTTCAGTAGCTGAACATTAGTTATCCCAGATTATCAGAAAAGCGTTTTCTATACTTTCTTCTATCCTCAGTGTTTGTTAGTACTGCCAAGACAGTTTTATAAAACTCAGAATAAAATAGAATGGCATATCAAATTAAATTATATTCCAGCAATTTCTCTTTTCCACAGATCAAGCATTCAAACTCACCAAACATTCTCAAGACCTTGCCCCTAAATAAGTTGTCTTCTTTCTCCAGTTACTGCACACCTCAGGAGGATATGTGTGTGGGTGCATGTTTAAAAATGTTTCCGTGAATTTGTGTTTTTGTATGGGTACAGGTTTGTGCAGGTATGTGTTTGTTTTATCCCAAATAAATGGAGTAAGACATTTACTGAATACCTCAAAACTGAGGCTGGAAAAGAATAGTAGATGCTCCTAACTATACATTAAATGAATGACCAATGAATAAACAAGGTAAATAGCATTTGAAATAAAACTTAGAAGAGAGACAACTTGCATCAACAACTATTCCTGAAAATTCACACCATCTTGTCATTTCAATAAATATATTAATCACTTGAATTGGTATCATGCTTTTCCATGAGGGCATTAACATATTTGATGTGTTTTAGCTCCTGACAGAATAAATTATATTTTTTAAAAAACTGCTTCATTGAGAAATTAGTCTGCTAATACGTCATTTTGATTATGAGTCATTAAGGGTCCTTTATAATCATGGGAAAATGTTACTATCCACTGAAGCAAAAATAGAATTATAATGAAATAGAGATGATATATTTCATTTTTAAATGATGAGAATGACTGACTATTGGGTTAAATCCAAGTTACTTTCCACATGTGATAAAATGCAAGCTATTTTAGTTTCCACATGTGGCAATTTCTATGATTAAGGATAGCTAATTTCTCTGGCAATTGTAATTAATAATCTCTGTCCTACTGTTTCAGGAAATTTTATCCAAAAAAAGCAATGGACAACTGTTCATTGTGAATTACAAAGGCTTTTTTTTTTTTCATGGAAAGATCTTTCAAAATAATTAGCAATTAATGAAAAGTATGCAAGTGCCCAGAAATTGCAACTGATCAACTTCAAATTACATGGCCTTTAGCTATCCAACCAGCAAGAGAAGTAGTTTAAAATCTAAAAACTATTGGTAACAAAAATTAGAAGAGATAAATCAATTATTCATGTATAAAGTTCAATGTAAATGTTAGAAATAGAAATTAAAATAATGAAGTAATCATAAAACAAGTAGAGAGAGAATAAATTAAGAAATTATAATAGATGTTCTTCTTGACTATGTTTAATTTTTGTCCCTAAACTCAAAGAGAATATTTATATACCTCATACTTTAAATAATCTCATACTCTACATCTATCTATTTTATGTTTATCAGAAAAAAAAGTTGATCTATACAAAATTGACCTATATCTAAACTGCCCATTCCTCATGCACTAAAATCAAATTTTTAATTTTGCAAAATCATAATTTCTCAAGTACTAGAAATTCTTCTCTAATATCAAAACTAACTTTCACCTCTGTTAGAGGGCTTTCTTAGATTTAGATTACAAACATATGTTTGTATTACACCAGAAACTTTAACCAAATAATTTTTAAAACTGAGTCACTATCTGGAAAGACAATGATAGCATTGTGATAGATCTAACTAGAAAATGATTTCTACTCTTCTCTCTGACCATTTCTGCAGAATCCTGCTGTTGATCAATTCTCACACCTGCTCTGCTAGTTAGTTCTAAAGGGTTCCCTTCCAGTCCAAATCCATTAGCAATCCCTAAATTTCAACAAAAATCAAAATTAGGGGCTGATATGTCCCAGAAAATTACTCAGCACATCAGACTTTGTTCAATGATGAATTACTTTCCATCATAGGCAATTGTTTGCCTAACGTGCTACATGTATCTCTTAAATATTCTTATATGTCTGAATTGCATCTTATTCCATTTATTTGGTCCATTTATCTCCATGGGGTTTATTTGAAACCGTTTTCCTCCCGATATGGACAAGCATGTCATCTGTAATGAAGACTCTGTAGGGAGTTGTCACAGACATTTTTGTCTACCACATACCCCATCTTAGATGTCTGTACTGTTATAGGTCTTCTTGACATTCCTCTGTTGACAGAGCATCAACCCACTAATGAAAATTAGATTATCACTCCATGGACAAGCATCACTAACTGAAACTCTAGAAACCAAGCTGTGGAATACCAATAAAAACAATAAGAATAGTTTCACATGCTGTATATGACATGCAAAATACAGCATTTGTCTTACTCTTATTAAAACGGAATATTTTCTTTTACCTGGTCAATGCCAATTAGTTATAGTTAAGCCATAATCTTTTGTGACATGTGACATGTCTCTCAATAAAAGGAAAGCATATCATAAGCCTACTTCTTAGCTGTGACATGCTGTCTAGGCTCTGGTATGCCTCAAGCTGGCAAATATGCCTTTCCCTTCACAAAGAGAAATACCATATGCCACAAAGACTGTGAACCCTATAGGTTATTTACTCGTGGTTTTCTGAAACTGAAAACTACCTGTTTTTAAGTCATATGTTATTAATAATATTTTTAATTTTTTAAAAAGGCACTCATCTGATAGCAGTTTCTTTAGTGCTGTAATAAGCCCAAGCAACTGCTCTTCTTTCAACTACTTTATGGTATTTTATTTTTAAATCTCAGGTAACATGTCCTTGAGGTTCAATTCACCTTGAGGTGAATTGTAAGAGTTATCTGTCTGTCTTCAAACTTTAGACTGAATGTCTGAAGCAATGATTCTCAAATTGTCTTCAAGTTATTCAAATTATCTAGGAAATTCAAAAACATACCAATGCCTATATTCCACCCCAGAGACTGAGCTTGAAAATTTTTAATATATCCTGAGATGATTCTAATGTACAACCAAGTTTAGAAACCACTAGTCTACTGGAGTATTGATTAACTTACCACCATGTGGATATGAGGCAATATTTACTATCATCTTATTGCTATATGACAAAGTCAGAGAATGATATTCAGACTAATTAACTTTACCAGTAATTATTACTATATATTAAAATGTCAAGCATTTTACCAACATTTTATCTAATCCTCACAACATTCCTGCAAGATAGGTATTATTCTTCTGACTTAGTAGATAGGGGAACTAAAGGTCTGAAAATTTACGCTGTTTACCAAATGTCACCAACTAATAATGGTATTTGAATCCATGTCTGTTTGACACCAAAAGACCTGTTCTTTACACTATGCCATACATTTTTAGTAGAGGTTATATCACCTCCAAGGAAATAAAAATTAAGAAAGTAAACATCAAAAAATCCTTAGATGCTACAATGGGTTTTGGCCCTCCAAAGTTCAACTTTGCTGATGAAATCTTATTCTTTAATATTTAATTTCTCTTATGGAATAAAATTTAAATTTAAATTTATTTTTCTACTTAGGAAGATAATAATGAAAAAAATTGAGAAACAGTGCAGTATACCATACTCTGCCTCCAACCATTTTGCCTATTAGTGAGTTAACATGTATACTACTCACATAGCACATATATATTATCTACATATTATCTACATATCTACATTATCTAGAATACATATAGAGAAAATTGCTCTACCTTCAATTTTATTTTATTTTTTATTTTTTAGTGTTTATTTATTTTGAGAGAGAGAGTGTGTGAGAGCAGGGGACGAACAGAGAGAGGAGAAAGAGAATCCCAAGCAGGTTCTGCACTGTCAGCACAGAGCCCAACTTGAGGGTCAACTGGTGGTTATGTCCTTTTGATGACCTCCTTCAAAATAGGAGGGCTCAATCCCACATACTGTGAGATCTTGACCTGAGCCAAAACCAAGAGTCGGACGCTTAACCAACTGAGCCAACCAGGAGCCCTTCCCTTCAACGTTATAATTCCCAAGTTGCACTTATAATTGAAAAGAACCACAGTATAAACAAAGCTATATACGATATAGGTCCCCAAGATACTAATGATAGGAGAAAAAGTAGTAAGTTCAAAAAGAATTATCTATAAGTCTTCATAAATATCTATTATATTGCTACCCCAGCATTATAGCAGTAGGTTGTTGTTTGAAACTTGGGAATTTCTTGGGTGAAATCTGAAACTTGCCCACTACATGGAGGGCAAGGAGAGATCAGAGAAAAAGGCAGACCACACCAGATTGGTAGGTGACAGGTTTAGTGTGGGGACTTTCTTACAAGGCTTGTCTTAGGTGGTCATAAGATGAATAGATCTCCATACCAACCCACCAGAATCTTAAAAGTTTATACAGAGGCCTTAACTAGGTTCAGTCACATATTCTATCCTGATGGTCTCAACAACACATTGCTTTCTCAAGACTGTGTCTTTCAGGCAACCTCTAATGTGGTGAAGGCAAGCAGAACACATACTTCAAGTATACAGGAGAAGGTGAGGAGTCTCCAATTGCCTGGGCCTAATTTGAGGGTCACCTGGTGGTTATATCCTCTTGATGACCTCCTTCAAAATAGGTAAATACTAGAGTAAGCTTTCTCTGATATGACATGGTTAAATGTCAAATTATATCAAAGTTTTAAATATCTGAAGGCAAAAATCAAATCACTCGGTTTTGTATCTCCTATAGCACTGCACATCATATAAACTAGTCAATTGACAAAAATTGAATAGAAAATGGAATTTCCATTACCGTACTGAGGTTATCAATCACATAACCAAATACATACAATAATAAAACAATTTTAAGCAAATTTTAATGTCTTTATTGATTTAGAAGATGTTTTTCTACTTTCTTTAGAATCATTAATTTTAAAACATTTTAATCTATAACAGAGGAAAGTGTAGCACAAAATAAGTATTGGACTTCAAATTTAATATCTTCCCTAAAAAACTACTAAGTTGATTTACCAAGTTGTCACCACTGCCCTAAGAATAACACATAGAGAGGCATTTGAGGATACTGACAAGTGCTCAAATATTGAACTCAGACTGGCTAAAGTCAATGATAAAGGCTACCATACAGTAGGCTGAAAGGGAATCTTTAGGAAGATATATTCTAATTTAAGCCACAGCATCAACATGTTTATGCTCCTATCAAGGAAACAGAAAGAAATTCTGACAATCAGAAGTAAGGTGTCATAATGCTTATTTGTTCAAGGCAAAGAGGACTTTGAACAATTTCCTCAAAAAAGTTATTATTTTGAAAACTAACAACCCAGCAATCAAGGAGGACTTCTTTGTGAGCAGTCCCTAGAAAAATACTCTGAGGTTTTCTAGCTAGTGAAACAAAAATTATTTGAGAATGTTCCTGGGGGCCAATGACACCAAGAGTTACTGTAAGCTATTATCTGGGAGTTGCTCTCCACACACATGGCCATTAGGCTGTACAGAAGAAAACTGACCTAGGAGAGGAACATCTATGACTCCTCCTCTTAATGGTGGCTCCCATTAGAATTGAGATCATGTGTGTTAAGGAAGAAATTTCATTGCATAGAGAACTCTGGCCTTTTCTGCTTTCTCTAACCCTTCATGCACATAGAGCTCCTACCCAGCCTGAGTATCTTTTGCTATTCTTCTCACTGAAGAGAAAATGAGCGGGGGGCGGGGTTGGGGGGAGATACAACCTGTTTTAATTTGCATTGCCGAAATCAGATCAGTTGAGACTCAGAGGCTAAACTAGAATTCAGATCCCTGGCCTAAAGGGAGTCTGCCCCATCAAAGGAGCTATATGAGGTGATATCCATAATAATAATAACAACAATAACGATGACGATAGTAGATAACATTTATTGAACAGTTGTTATATGTAAGACACCATGTTTGGTGTTTATAGTCATTTTTTCATTTAAAATTTTCAAAAATCTTATGAGAATTTTTTCTTCTTATGTATAAAGAAAGAAGGCTAGTGAGTGTAGATGTATAAAATGATAGACAACAGAATTTCCTTTGCATTTTCTTGTGTTATAAGCTAGTACTTGAACTTGCAAGGTCAATCTTCTCACAACCCTCCTTTTCTTACATTTATGGGTGTTATGGAGAACTTTTGCTTCCTTTGTTAGTGGCAGAAACCTAACTCTAATTAGGCAAAGCAGAAAGGACATTTTATGAGCTCATATAGCCAAAACACATGTAGGGATTAGACACCAGATCTCCATCTTTTGCCTCTGTTTTTCTTTGGGCATTAGTCTCTTTTTCTTATGTATGGTACAAAGTATTCTCCACTCAGCTGGGAAAATAGCCATTGATGATTCTAAGTTTACCTATTGCCAGGTTCATGATTCCAGAGAGAAAAGGCTTCTCCCTACAACTTCATTGTGAAGAAACAGGGTAGGATCTTAGTTGGCCAAGCCTGGAAATTGTGTGGCCACCCTTGAACCAATCATTGTGGTTTGAATGTCCAGACCTGAATTATGTGACCTCCTCCATGGACAAAAAGTTGTGACCTTGTGTATGGCAACTCCACCAGAATCACAAAATTTGAGGGAGAAAAGAACAGTTCTTATAAGACAGAGTAGGAGTCATGGTTATCAGAATCAGGAATGCAGGACAGACAAAAGTAGCAGATCTCTAGTACACCAATGATGCGTATACAAATAATCTAGAGATCCTGTTAAAATGTAGATTTTGATTCAGAAGGCCTGAGGCAAAGCATGAGGTCCTATATACCCAATAAGTTTCTAGGTGATGTCCAGACCATGCATTCAGTAGCAAAGCACTAACCTTATTTTTATGCATTGCCCATCTATGTTTAATGTGGTAGATGCATTAAAGCTTGGGACTTACCCACAGTAATGAATGCAATCTCACATGCTTGTCTGAATATGATGCCTTCTCAGGACCAGCTGTGTCCCCGTCACAACACTGAAATAGCAGAGGTGTTGCATGTCAAGATCGAGACATATTGGCAGAACTCTGTGATAAAAACACTTTACAATTTCATAGCACCTTTCATTCCAAAGTGTTTCAGAAGCTATATACATTCAGCACCACAGAAAGATGATAGAGGCAGCAGACTCCATGGGGTGAAGGAGGTGTCAAGGGATGGAGTGGGGGTGGAGGAATAAGTAAGCCAAGGACAGTGGAACATTTCTCTATTAAAGGCAACAGAACACTGAAAAATTCTCAATGGAAAAAGAATAAAACCCTAAAATCTTTAAAGTTCATGTCCAAATAATGATAATGTAAAGATTAATGTTCAGAATCATTTTCATACAATCATCTTCTCTTAATAAACGTCCTATTCACATGTATTCTGTGAACACAAAGAAAAAGAAAAGAAAAAAAAATGAGCTAACCAAAGAAAAAATGAGCTAAACAAACAAGAATACTTAAGATACCAGGAAATCTATAAGATCTAAATTCAGTAACTCTGGCCTATATAGACTGAGTCTTCTTGATTAAACAGTCAAGTCCTAAAATCTTAGAAGTAGCTTTTCACAACGTATTCTGTGGCATGGGAAGTAGCTTTGTTTGCAGAGCATTTAGTAAAAGAAATGATTTTCCCAAGTATTACAAAATGCAAACATCTAACTTAACTTTAATATACCTGATGACAATGTGGATAATTTGTACATGTTCTGGAGGGGGAAGAAAGTCATTTTATGACAGAGCTTGAAAACGGAAACTTTTAATGACTCCTAGAGTGCTTGCCTTTAAAAGAAATCCATTTTCTAGGGCTGCTGTTTCCCATTTGTTACCAAGGACTCCTGCGGGGCTTCCAGTGACTTGGAAAGAGTTCTATTTTCACTTCTGCTGGCTCCTGTGACCACATCCAGATGATAAATGAGGACCCACAAGCTCCCACAAGACAGTTTCAAAGAGTCTGTGCTCCAGGCAGTACGTGGCTACCTGCCAGGGAAGCACATACCAAATTAAAAGGGCGAGGAGAGAAATCCTTCACTATTTCATGTTTCCTGGGGTTTCCAGTGAACTCATTGCATTAGTCTTCTTTGTGAAATGTTTTACTAAATGTGCTTATTTATGAACATTCACAAAACTTCAAGATTACAAGGAAAAAGAGAACTGGATTCTTAGACCAGAAATACATCTTTCTACTCTTTTATTCACAATCCTCCTATCTTTTCCCCTCCCACTTTCACTTGAGACAAGGTGGTGAAACCTTCCCCAGCCAGCAGATAACAGTGGTCACTCCATCAGGAGGATGTAATCTTGAATCACAGAGTTATTGCTTTGTCAGGGAAAAAAACAAAACAAAACAAAACAAAAAAAAAAAACAGAAAGAAAAAACATGCTACTCATATCCCACAGAGAGATTTTCCATTGGGAAAAATCATTAAAATGCTCTGTTGCTTGTCCTCTCACACTATAATTCTTGGGCCACAAAGTTCTGCTCAAAAGCCTATTTTTATAAATGATGAAAAGTAACTGATGCATCTAGTTATCTCTCAGAATTTGTCAGTTCCACAACCAGGAACGGTGCTGCCAGGCTCACTCCAAAGGAAGCTGGTGGTGAAGTGTAAGCTTCAGATAAGGATTTACACTGAGACTCCAGCTCCAGAAACTGCCCACAAGACTATAGATACAAGACAGGCAAAGAGAAAGGTGCAATCATAAAATTAGACTTATTGCAATCTTGCAGAAAAATGAATATGTTCCATTTTGGCTTACTTCACATTTGACAATAGCACAGAAACAAAACTGAACATACACCTTGAGAATTATAATACATCTAACTGTCAGCTTGGAATAACAATATAAAAAGAAAAGAAAGTTATGAGTTAAGTGGCACATTTTAAGCAATGAAGTCTTTGGAATTAAATCCTTGTTTGACTCATCATTTGACTAACTGATAGTCCATTTGTTTCTCAAAGATTTACGGCTCCACATTTAATTAACGTCAAACACATAACTGAATTTATGCATCCAGGCACAGTTCTAGGAACTGGAGACTCTTAGTAATCAAGACAAGTATGATTTTGCCTCTTAAAGTTTCCTTCTAACACTATGGTCTGGTTGAGCATGGGGAATATAATTGTCCCAGTATGAACTACTGAAACTAGAATAGTACTATTGATACCTTTATGATACTTGCATCATCTGCTACCTTTAAACACATATTTATTGAGTGGAAGTGCTTATCTTTAACACAAAATTTACCATACCAATCTGTACAATCTGTAAATTCTAACAAATTTTCTTCTGCTGTCTGAGTTTACACTCATTAAAGCCACTTTAATATGGATAATAAAACATTTCAGAGCTCAGATAACAGTTCAGTGTAACTTAACTCTGAAAACACCTATTGATGATCTCTGAAGTGTAAAGCATAATGTGTGTTCCCTTCCCACAAGAGGCACAAAACCAGTTGAGACATGGTGCCTACTCAGGCTGTTTGAGTAGCATTCAGGAGATATCTACATGACGAACTAGAATGGAAATTAGAATCAGGTGGACACTGTAATATAGGTTTAAATTTATGCTCCAGGTATTTGTAGAATAAAAAGGTTAACTTTAGCTAAGACAACTGGAGAAGATCTCTACAGCAGCTGAAATTGCAAGAATGCCATGAAGAATGAATTAATCTCATCAAGCAATTGGATTAGGGCAGAAGGGTATAATGGTTAAGAACAGTTCAGCAACGGTCAGAATTCTGGCAATCTTTCATACTAGTTGTAAGACTTGGTCCAGTTTCTCATTTGTGAACAGAGATAACATAAAAGTATATCATAAAGACGCTATAAACATTAAATAAGATTATTTATGTAAAATTTTTTACAGAGTGATTTTTACATAGTGCTCAATAAATATTAGTTTCTATTATTATTATAGAGTAAGAGTGGAGGAAGAGGAGCAGGGAAGTATAGATTATGACTAAGGAATAGCTGAAGAGGCATATACAGGGTTTATTGAGGGCTCAAAATACAAGAAAGTAAATTGCCTTTATTAGAAGAGTAATAAAAAAACCACTGAAGAATTTTCAGTAAAGGAGTAAGTGACATAACCAAATCATAATTAAATTGCTTCATTCTTACCAATTTTAAGATATTTCTAAAGCCTATTTAAGATGAATAGCTGTACAATGATCAGGATTTTGAGTACTGCTAACAATAGCTACTATTCACTGAGCAGTTAAAATACACAAGCATTGTGCTCAGTACTACACATATTTTTTAATCTTTACCAAAAAATCTATAAATCATATAGATATAGATATAAATCTATAATCAGATATATATAACAAATGAGAAAAGAGATTTTTTAAAAACCCAAGTTCACATAACTAAAAGAAAAGTGAATATTATAGAATAATGAATTCTTCAACAAACTTAATAGTATGTTCTGGTTTGTTCTATCCTAAAGTATATCACACTCCATTGTATTTGACTGTTTGTCTGCTACTCCACTAGAGTGAAAGTTCCTTGAACTGGGGACTATATATCAATCACCATTGTCATCTAAGCAATTAACAACCATGTTGTGAATAAATAAATAAATATGTATGTGTATATATATATATATATATAATTTTATGGCAGAATTTTCCTTAAATACCATATTTATTAGCTTCATCTGACTCATTGCAAGCCTGACAGAGTTACTTCTAGAATATATGGACAGAGTTTGTACTTTCAACTTTTTAAACTTTATAATAGAATAGTTTCAGAAATTTTTCTGGCCTGATTAATGTATTATACCCTTTAAAATATAAACAAAACAACACTTTCAGAGTATTTGATTCATGCACGTTGTATCTGGGCTACTAACAAACTCGTGGTTTTTTTGTTAAAAGATTAATATTCTTCTAGAGAAGGAAATCTTCAAATTTCTATTCTTTGAGTAATCTTTTCCATGAAAAAGAAAAAAGTTATTTCTTAAAACAACTATATTTAGACTCTTCTAGCGTCAATTTTACCCATTTTCAGCCCAATCAAAAAAGTACAAAACAAAGACAGAAACATGACACACAATAACTCTAAAAATGGGCAATCAATAAATAAGGTTAAAAAAATACAAACATTTCAGATCATTAAATACGGCTTTTGTCTGGCTAACTGATGGTGATTCTCTGGCTCCAGACAAAATGATATAAACAGAAGTTATACAGTCATTTGTTTAATATTGATTGAAATTGATATTATCTATTACACATTACTATGGATAATCTTAAATGGCTTGCAATTTAAAAGAGGAAAACCCATAAGACAATTTGATTTTTCCAGAAGATTTACAACCCAAATTATTATTATTTTTTGTTCAGCACACTCAATGTGAGGCTTATGATATCATAAAGGCTAAAGGATAGCTATAAAAGTCAAGTTCTGGGATGTTGCCCAGAATTGCCAAGAATAATCCAAATAGAGAATGATACAGACAGAAAATATACATGTAAATGTATCTGGGTTTACCAAAGATTTTAATTTCTGCATTATGACTTTTATATATTCTATGTTTTCTACAGTTGTAATAACGAGTCTGATTCCATTTACAATGTTTTACTGCCAACAGTTAAGCTAATAAAAAGTCCCAGATGCTGCCTCCTTTAGTGTCAGTGGGAAGTTCAAAGCACATAACCTCTGGGCCATGTGAAGGAACCCATGACCTAGACCCATCCCTTAACTACAGTAAAAGCTAAACCAACCTTCTGTCCCTTCTATTTCACACTATCTCTGAACCTGCTTGGGAGCCTAATGTGCATTTCACAGAAAGCTCATTTTCAAGTAATAAACTTTACATACCCACTTGATGCATGTGTGATATAATCACTTACAATATCACAATCAAATTTTGAATAGGAATTCATCTACCTCTACAGAGTGGGTGACAACAGCCAATGTGTATTATTTTCATAATTTAAAAAGCACATAGAGGTATCTGAGAGGTTCAGTCAGTTAAGCGTCTGA